AAGGACAACAAATCTATTTTTATAGACATATCTTTTGTAGTTTAAGATATTACTTTTATTAATTTAGAATAGGTTTTGTTTCTTATTCTTCAAATGAAGTTTGTCGAAAATAGTCATAACTCACACCAAAAATATTTAGAAAAGCCGAATGAGAAGGAAAAAAAAAGAAAAATATTAAAAGGGCGAATTGTTTTGTCCAAGTGAGGTAATATACATACCAAACGAAAAATAATTTATATAATTTTAAGGAAACAACAAAACAGCGAGAAAAAACATACATTAAAGGGAGTAAACTATGAGATATCCAATGATGATAATAAATTATTTTAACCAGAAAAAGTTCCTAATGTTTTGGAATAACATACCACAAAAATTTGACTAACACTTCAATCAACTTTCAATCCTTAAAGTACTAATAATATCCACTGATAAAATTTAATAAAAATAGATAACAACAACATAAAAACCAAAAGATACGTGCATGCAAAGTTATTAACTCTCAGAAGAATTTTTAAAGAACACAAAATTGCATCCTTGTATGTGAAGGAATGACGTTGTTGGTGAAGAAATTATAGATTTGTAAGGGCTTTTTTTTTATTTCACCTTCTACAATTTTAGTAGAGAAAACTTGCTTGAATACCCAAACAACGTTTGTTATTTAATCTGTAGTAACAAATATTTATAACAATAACTTTGCATAAACATAAGCAACAAAATTTAAAGCATGTACTCAAAAACAACAATTAATACTATAAGCATAAATTAATGAATGTAAAAAACATACCAGGATCTTCAAAAATAGAATGAAACAAAATGAAAAAAATCAAGCCCATTGAATGCACTGTGTCCCCTTAAGAAAATTATTCCCTCTAGTACCTAATGTTTAAAGGAATAGATCCTCTCAAGATAGAATGATTCTATTCACCAGTGTATTGATACAAAAACAATGGTGTCAGTGAGCCACTCAACATGAGCAAAGTACACAAATATTTACTTGTCCAGAAGAAGAAGAAGAAGTTCAAAATTTTCGTTATTTTAAAATGAGAGGAAAGTCCTCTATTTATAGACAACAAAGGGTAGTGTGAAAAAATGATTATTGTGTCTTATCAGAAAAGTTACAACTCTTTGAAAAAGTTAAAACCCTTCGGAAAGGTCACAACCTTTCATTAAAGTCACAACTTTTCAAGAAAGGGGAAAACTAGTTTTGGAAATAAATAAATTAAGAGCAACTTTCACATATAGCAAACATAAAAATCATATTTGTATGTTATAA